TTTATTATGTGATATATTTGGGTTTTCTAGTTTTATTTTCGTTTCTTATGTATTATAATTGCTAAAAGGTGGCCGGTGGCGTAGAGGTACAGGCTCTCGTCTACCAATCTCAAGGTAGTGGGTTCGAATCCCAAACCCGGCATTTCATCAGCCGACAATTTTTATTAAAATAAAAATAGTTTGGGTACCTAGGTCGACTCAGCCTTAAATGAGTACTTGGGATTCACAATCCTGAGGTAACGCGAAATTTCGAGAAACAATAGGCGGTTGAAGCGTAGTGCTAGCCACATTACCTTCCTTTGTATACCGAACGGCTCTAGTATGGGAAGCTGTACCTTGTTACTCCCAAGGCGTCAAACGCTATATACGGGAGCTAGTATTATTATAATGTAATATAATTTGTTTTAGTAGTTTTATTTTTGTTGTTCAAGAAAAGTTTCTTTCTGTTTCCTAGAGATCCTATTAGGTTTGTATATATGTGATTAATTATTTTAACATATTTTAGTTGTGAAAAAAAAACAGTAGTATACATATTAGGACATTCAGCTAAATAGGAAGATCTAATTAAAAATTTTAACAAACTTTAATATTAGTAAGATTTAATGTTAAATATTTAGTAAAATTTAATGTTGTATCTAGACATTAAAAACTAAATTTAAAAATCATTATACTATTAATTTAATTATAATTATAAAAGTAAATAAAATGAGTATATCTAAAATAAGTTAACAATACATTTTGAATATATAAATAAGGCCCACAAAAGGTACAAGTTGCGTTCTGTTCATTTTGAATTTAAAATGTTTACCAATTCACTTTGTAACCGTATAAAATACAATGCGGTACCTACTTCGTTGCGGTCCTGCCATGAAAAAAATAGAAGTTTCTCAAAAAAATTGTGGATTTATTAATTTGTGAAATTTGAATATTAATAAAATTTGCTACGCCCATTGATGGGCATAATTTGTACGTAGCCTATTTTTATAGTTCAATAAATATTTTATTGGTATTTCTTTAATTCTTGTTTGTAACTCCTGGCATGTTTTTGTTAGTTGCATGTTTTTTAATTTTAATTGTCTATTCTCTACAGTGAAATATTTAATTGATTTTTTCATTTTTACTTGTCGAGAAGTATGCGCGGTTAAGGATTCATTTGCTTGGACAAAAGTATTGTGTAAATAAAATTCAGTTTCAGTCAATTACAGTATTTTTTTAATACGACCCTGTCGTATTTTCTGAGAAATTTTTTGATACGTTTTAATCCGGCTCTGACTAGTTAACGATAATGGCTCCGTCAAGGTCAAATTTTATAGAAATTTTAAACAAAGGAATCTGAGCAGAGTTGGCGTGCCGATTGTTTTATGTGCCGTGGTAAGGCCCCGAAAATGACAAATCTATTGAACGTTTTATAAATGCATAAAGAAGGTATGAAAATGACATGTCCTGATGATGGAGACACCTTTCCTAATGCTAATCTGATGGCGTTCATATATCCACGTACGTATGATCTAGGACTGAAGATAACCACTTGTAAAGATAAATAAATCTGAAATATTGTGTTATATTTTTATTCAATTAAATAAATATGATATAAAAGATATATTCAGTAACATTAATGGAAGTGTGTGGAAAGAAACATCTAGAGTAATTTGATTGTCAGTGCCGTATATATATACGTTTCTCTTATAAAGCTTTCAGCAAAAGCATATCCTATGTCGGAAAACTTAATTTAATGTCTTTCTCTGCCAGGCGAGACTATCTTTGTAAAATATTAATTCTATCTTTTTACTGTCGCTTTTTTTCATTATTATTATTTACTTATTTTTGTATGGAGTACAGTAAAAATGTTGCATAAATAAATAAATACAAATATAAATATACACTGACCGGCAAAAAAATCAGGCCACTAAAAACTAGTCCCAATTTCAAAGTTGGATTTCTCGCCAACCACTCATTAGATTTTGATGATTTTTTTTAAATTGTAAATTAATTCCTTCTTAGCGCATGCTACGTCAGAAATTTTTATTCTGAATTTATTTTGAGCATATACAGAGCCAGGGCACAACAATAAGACGACGTTTCTTGCCCGAACTTTGTAACACCCTGTAGGGTGCAGTAGCTAAAGTAGCTATTGCTAAATCAAATCACATCGTAGACTCATCATTTTTGAGCAATTTGTTTTGTTAATTACATCATCTCTGTTTGTATTGGATATACGCTGCTTTAAAACAAACGCCTCGAAAAAAGTCCATTATTCAATTCAATTCACATGTAACACGCAAACTGAAGACATGCTCGACGATGTCCTTGGAAGTAGCTGGAGTCCTGTGGCAGGCCTTCTTGGAGGCAAGCTGTTTTCTTTTCGTTTTAGTCTTCGACGGATTGTTCTCTCACTAACTTGAATTCTACGCACGGCCTGTAGCAGATGTTGATTATGAAACTCTGTAATTCTACGATTTTCTAAAGTATTCTGGACAATAAAGCGGTCGTCAATTGTATTTGTTTTCCGTTTCCCTCCGGAACCCACTCGCCTGGTGAAATTTTCCGTTTCCATATACCGATTCCAGGCATCCTGAACTGTTGTTCGAGGTATACCCAGGGTATCGGACTCATAACGTTGACTTTGGCCATCCTCAATTAAAGCCACAATACGAGCAACATCCGTCAGAGATAATGGCATTTTTTAATTTGACAACCATAGTTGTCATATTGCAAATACTCATAAATCCGTTTTCGCCTATGTCGTCTTGATTATTTACACATTAAACTTTCTGTCTGCGAAGCATTTTTCCGAGTTCGTTTTAAAGCAGCGTATCTCCCGTATAAACAGAGATAATGTCGTGACTAAAAAAAATAAAATACTCACAAAAGATAAGGCTATATTGTGATTTGATTTAGCAATAGCTACTACAGCTGCTGCACCCTACAGGGTGTTAAAAAGTTCGGGCAAAACACTTTGTCTTCTTGTTGTGCCCTGTATATGCTCAAAATAAATTGGGAATAAAAATTTCTGACGTAGCATCCGTTAAGAAGGAATTCATTTACAATTTAAAAAAAATCATCAAAATCTAATGAGTGGTTTGCGAGAAATCCAACTTTGAAATTGGGACTAGTTTTTAGTGGAAGGTTTTTTTTGCTGGTGAGTTTATATAAAATATCATACAAAAAAAACAAAACTATTTTTTTTTAAATCAAAATGTATATAGGAGATAACGTAAATCAGCATACAATAAAGGAATAGTTAAAAATGTGTATTGAAAAATGGAATAGGTAAAATTAGGCACAAAAAGCATATAAAGGCGCTCAAAATAATACACAGTTTAATATAACAATGAAATAAATAAAAAAATGTTTTTTTTTGTTGCTTTACTATTTTAGTTGTTACTTTAAACTTACTATTTTAGTTGTTAGTTTAAACTTACTATTTTTACGATTGTTACTATTGTTGCGATTTGAATCCATGCTTGTTATAAACAATTTTTAATCCAAGCTTGTCATACTGCTTTACATTTTTGTACTGGATTTCCATGTTTCAGAATAAATAGGTATTGGGTATGGATTACTTCAGGTCGCATGCAGTAAAGAACATTCCGACAAAGAAAATGTAAATTCTTACAGTAAGTTCTGCGGTAAAGAAATACAGCTTATATTACAGTCTAGGAAAAAATGGAGTAAGATAAATTATACCGCGCAATGCTTAATTGTTACGTGTTGTGAGATTATGAAATATTTAATCTACTACCTATATATTATGGCCATATTATCTAAAATAAAAATATTTTTTGCCATATAACTGCCGTTTTGAAAAATCTGCCGTTTTTTAAAAATAATGAAAAATTGAAACTAACAAAAAGTTATGTTTGTTTGCCATTATGAGGAAACTAACCACCCTCTCGTTACCGGTTTTGGGGCCTATACCCCATCGTCAGACGAGCTAAACGGGCTGAATTTCTCAGAACGAAAGCTGAAGATTTTACAAAACAGCAGTTATATGGTAAGATATATTTTTTATTTTAAATATTACATAATATAGTGTTTGCCAATATTACATATGCTACCCGGTAGCGTAGAAGTACAGCCTCTCGTCTACCAATCTCATTCATCTCAATCTCAAGGTGTGGGTTCGAATCCCCCCGTTCGAATACCCGGCATTTCATCAGCCGACTATTTTTATTAAAATAAAAATAGTTTGGGTACCTAGGTCGACTCAGCCTAAAATGAGTACTTGGGATTCACAAGAGCTACTCCCAAGTCGTTAAACGTTATATACGGGAGCTATTATTATTATTATTATTATTATAAATATTACATATTGATACCGCAAGAACCCTTCACTTTATATTTATATTTATACAGCCGCATGAAAATGCTTCTTTCCATCTGTGTACTGGCGCTATTAGATCTTTATCTAATAACTCACCGACACTAAACTAAGTCGCCGGTTGAGGTAGAATTTTGTTTGTTTGCCGTTCTGGTAAATTCAGCCCGTTTAGCTCGTCTGACAATAGGGGATAGGCCCCGAAACCGGTAACGAGAGGGTGGTTGGTTTCCCCATAACGGGCAAACAAACATAATTTTTTGTTATTTTCAGTTTTTCATTATTTTTGAAAGCCGAAGATTTTACAAAACAGCAGTTATATGGCAACAAATATTTTTATTTTAAATATTAGGTACTGATACTGCAAGAACGCTTCACTTTTTGTTGACTTCACTTTTTGTTCAAAAATTCAAATTTTCATTTTTTTTGGCGAAAAAAACTCCTAGACGTGTTTCTGAGGTTGAAATATACTACCCCTAAAAATATTTGCACTTATTTAAGATTCACCCTGTATATCTATCATTTAATAAAATTTTAGTGGGTTTTCTACTAGTATCTACTCGGTTTGTAATTATAATATATAATATATCCTTTGATGATTATTCATTTTTATTGCAAATAACAGGTGTTTTAATATTCGCATATTTCAGAAGTTACCACTTTCTTTTCTTTTATTTTCTAGATGTCCTAATATGGGTCAGCCTTGGATGCTTGTTCGTGCTGCTGCTATCTTATTGGTGACAAGGCAAACACTGGCCCTGTCAGACATGTAAGTTTTATAATTGAATGTATTTATTAATAAGTTGTTCGAGAATCTGATAAGAAATGGGAAGCCCTGAGTTGATGACTGCAGAAATACATGGTTTCAATGTGCCAAATCTGTGTTTCCTCCAATGTGTTTCCTCCAGCCAAATGTGTTTCATCCAATGTGCTAAAAAGCAACAACCATTTGGTTTACGATTCGGTTCTAAAATATTTATGATACATGATTATATTGCATTGCTCCCAATAATTAGAAATAAACAATCGTGGGTATTTGGAAGGCTCAAATGGAACAATTATATTCTGTGCAACCTTTCGCGGCTTTATTGCCGCTTCTTCGGGCACTAAAATCTTTGCTATTTACTATTTACTATTTAATATTTACTCTCGTATTTATTATTTACTATTTTAATTTCTATTTCTAATATTCCTAATTAAATTTACTATTTTAATTCCATTTAGTATTTCAAATCACTTTTGTAGGCAGTTGGAATACTAAATGTGCCTGAAGAAGCAGCAATAAAGTCGCAGAACGTCGCACCGTTGATAGAAGAAATAAGAAGATGCGCAAACTTATGGGCGATTTCGCGGCACAAAATCTGTCCGAGATGTAGCTGGCGTTACCGTCAGCCTATCCGAGAATTCTGAGATTTAGTTTAGCTCTGCGTCGCTGCGCGCTGTTTAGTCGTTTACAGAGCAGCGGATAAAGAATACTGTACCGTAGCAGACCGTAGTTCTGCTTTCAGTCGACAGAGTGAGTGGATACCAAAGACAGTGTTGACAGAACTACTGATTAATCGGTAGATTTACGGATTTTTGGTACAGTACGTTAATAATACCAAAGAATATTATAGTTTTAAGAACTCTCGTGTGGAAGCTTTAGTGATTTGTCACACGGTGGCGCTTTTGAACATAATCGAAGCTTGAAAATGCTAATATTTTAAATTTTGAGGACTACGCGCGGCGATATTTCGTACGGTGTTGCCAAACATATTTTATTTCTCGATATTTAAAGAAATATGTATTGATTATATATTTCGTATTCGTTAGTACATGAGGCATCCTAAGGCTATAAAAACGTAGCCATGAAAATAAAATTTTAGATTTTTAATTTTTTTGTACCTTCTAATAAAAATTACTTCTATTCCAATAAAAAATTAACTAGTATGATTATGTGTTATCTGTGCTAGCATTAGGAAACTGGAGTAAATACGGAGAATATTAATTCGTTCTCTAAGATGAGCACTACTAAGTAATTTTTTAAAATTCGACCCATAAGGGGGTGTAATTAGATAAAGGGGTGGAATTATACAAAAAAAATCTCTACCTACTAGGAGTATGAACTTTTGCACAGATGTGGCGCATTTGAACATTGATAAGCGATTTTTGGAAATGTATAGCCTAAGGGTAGTGAAACTGGGGGGTGAAATTTTGTACAAAAAATGTTAGTTCTAGGAGTATGAAATTTTGTACAGTTTCCTTAAGTGACGAAAGTGAGTACCTAGAAGCTAATTTTTGACATGGATTTGACATGGGATGAAAATTTGTACAAAAGTTTGTTACAATCGGTTTTAGAAGTATGAAATTCTGCACAGACGTTCCTTATGTAACGTAATTTAGCACTAAGTAGCACTTTTTGGAAATTTGCCCTCTAAGGGTGTGAAATGAGGGGTGAACGTTCTGAAACAATTCTGTTGAAGGAATATGAAAATTTGCACAGAGGTTCCTTATGTAGCGTAATTGAATAATTAGAGCGCGATTTTTGGAATTCATTCCTTAAGGGGGTAAAACTAGGGGTGAAAATTTATATAATTTTTTATGTAAAATCCGTTCTAGGACTAGGAGTATGAAATTCTGTTCAGAGGTCCCTTAAATGATGAAAGTGAGTACCCAGAAGCGAATTTTAGGCATGCATCCCCTAAAAAATAAGGGATGAAAATTTGTACAAAAATTTGTTAAAATCGGTTTTAGAAGTATAAATTTTGCAGACTTTCCTTATGTAACGTAATTTAGCACTAAGAAGCAATTTTTGGAAATTCGCCCTCTAAGGGTGTGAAATGAGGGGTTGGACGTTCTGGAACAATAAATTCTGTTCAGAATTTGCACAGAGGTTTATTATGTAGCGTAATTGAATAATTAGAGCGATTTTTGGAATTCATTCCTTAAGGGGATAAAACTAAGGGTAAACATTTGTATAATTTTGTAAAATCCGTTCTAGGACTAGGAGTATGCAATTTTGTACAGAGCTCCCTTAAGTGATGAAAGTGAGTACCTAGAAGAAAATTTTGGACATGCACCCCCTAAAAAATAAGCACTCCCTATAAAACAATTAAAATAAAAAAAAATTGTCTATAGGGGTATAAAAAATATATAACAACCTGGGAATAGGTTGTGACCAAACCAAACCAAACCAGACCTACTGAATATACATATAAAATTTTATCAAAATCGGTCTAGCCGTTTTGGAGATGGTAACAAAAAATTAAAAAAAAACAACGCCTATTAAAAAATAGGGGATGATGGTGGAACGGTGAAAATTTAGGGTTATTTGTATTTTTTAATGCCAACTAAAAAATAAAAACATTTTTTTCTTTTCAAGAAATAAAAAATGAGGGTGGCCTACCCTCTCGGCTACCCTTACCACATAAGGGTATAAAAAATAGATAACAACCTATTCTTAGACGTACTGAATATACATATAAAATTTTATCAAAATCGGTCAAGCCGTTTCGGGAATGGTAACAAAAAATTTAAAAAAAAACAACCCCTATTAAAAAATAGGGGGATGATGGTAGAACGGTGAAAATTTTGGGTTCTTTGTATTTTTTAATGCAAAATAAAAAAATAAAAATATTTTTTTTTTCAAAATATAAAAAAATGGGAATGGGCTACCCTTATCACTTAAGGGTATAAAAAATAGATAACAAACTATTTTCAGACTTACTCAATATACATAATAAAATTTCATCAAAATCGGCCAAGTCGTTTCGGAGATGGTAACAAAAAAACAACCCCTATTAGAAAATAGGGGATGATGGTAGAACGGTGAAAATTTAGAGTTGTTTGTATTTTTTAATGACAAATAAAAAAAATTAAAAATATTTTTTTTTATCACTTAAGGGTATAAAAAATATATAACAACCTATTTTCAGACCTACTCAATTTACATATAAAATTTTATCAAAATCGGTCTAGCCGTTTTGGAGATGGTAACAAAAAATTAAAAAAAAAACAACGCCTATTAAAAAATAGGGGATGATGGTGGAACGGTGAAAATTTAGGGTTATTTGTATTTTTTAATGCCAAATAAAAAAATAAAAACATTTTTTTCTTTTCAAAAACGAAAAAAAATGAGGGTGAGCTACCCTGTCGGCTACCCTTATCAGTTAAGGGTATAAAAATAGATAACAACCTATTCTTAGACGTACTGAATATACATATAAAATTTTATCAAAATCGGTCAAGCCGTTTCGGAGATGGTAACAAAAAACTTAAAAAAACAACCCCTATTAAAAAATAGGGGATGATGGTAGAACGGTGAAAATTTAGTGTTGTTTGTATTTTTTAATGCCAAATAAAAAAAAATTAAAATATATTTTTTTTTTCACAAAATAAAAAATAGGGGTGGACTACCCTTATCACTTAAGGGTATAAAAATATATAACTACCTATTCTCAGACCTACTGAATATACATATAAAATTTCATCAAAATCGGTTAAGCCGTTTCGGAGGAGTACGGTAACCAAAACTGTAACACGGGAATTATATAAGATAATATTATATGTAAACTACGGAGTGCGGAGAACGGAAAGACTGATTATAGCAATAGATAATATTTAAAACTATAATTTAAAACTATTCAAGAAAGTACACACAAAACAAGGCAACGCCGCGCGTCTATTCGTTCAATTTCGAGCAAAATAGCGAGGCACCACGAAGTTGGGGCCTCGCTCGCCAAAGCGAGGCCCCATCGACAGATCAGATTTTGAAGCGAGACGAGACTTCTAGGGTATTAAGATATTCTTTGATAATACGGATTTTCTATCATTAAACAATTTAATATAATTTTATATGATTAAACAAAGAACGGCGTCAGAGTTGGCCGTTTCAAGCTCGTCATTTCCAAGCCAACTAAACGACTTTTTTCGATCATACGATACATTTAGTACCTATAAAATAAATTTTATTTTTGTTGTTTATTCTGTGTTTAACACGAATAAATTTTCAATACATAAACGGCGATTTTTCATCCAAATATATTTTCCTCAAAGGTTTTACAGATACTACACATTTTAATATGGCAACACTGTCGCTTTCAGATCCACACCGTCCTCGATATGCCTTCGCTGGCCGAATTAGAGAATATTATGGTGTGTACAGACAAATTTAAGGGAGTCTTAAATTAAGTGTAGCTTTGAATGTGATTTCATTTGTGACTTTTTAAATTCGTTTGTCAGATTCAAATTCACAGCTCCACTTAACTTAAGACTCCCTTAAATTCGTCGGTGCAAACCATGCACCATTAGTGTTTTATGCGTTGACCGCAGAACGATAGGTGTCTCTACCATACAGCACTTGAGACGTAAGGGGAAATCAAATCAGCCTTGTCACAAATTCGCCCATTTGCGTAGGTTGCGTATCTTCCCAATTCTTTTAATCAACGGTCACAAGGTCCCAATAGCCACGATTTTTTATTTCTACATTTATAATACTAAACTAAATTATATTAACCTATTGCAAATATTATATTTCTAGTAAAATTGTAGAATATTTACAACTGTATAGTATAGAAAGATAAAAATTTAGTACAAAAAGATAATAATTTTGGACAAACATTCTACACGCATCGTAAATTTTAAATAATTGGGATTACAGGATTGAGAAGAAAGACTCTGGGGTCGGTATTTACATGTTTCAGAATGAATAATTGATATGGCGATCCATAAATATGAGAGAGAAAAATGTGACATTGTTTATTACATACTAATGCAATTCTTTATTTCACC